CCATGGGAGAGGCACGGGTGGCAGGAATGCAGGAGCCATCACCTTGCCTGGGCTTCCTGGTGCCCTGCTTTTGCATGCAGGGATGGGGAACACTGGTGATTCAGGCGTGTTTGGGAGAGGTGGGTGGTATACGATGTTCAAACCTGTTTTTACTTTAGTCTTGCTGCCTGTAGCCTCTTCACTCAGTTCTGAACAGTTCCTGTTCTCCCAACAAGTCTTCAGTGTTGTTTTCTTCTCCAGTCCACCCTGAGCTCCTTTTGCTGGGCAAACACCCAGGCAATCCTGGCTGCACGGAATCGATGGGGCTGGAGGCATCACTGGGCTGATGTTGGGATAAACTTGTTTTTGGGAGAGAAGTGAGAAGGGAGCAAGGGCAGCCAAATGGGCTCATAAGACAGACTTGCAGGCAGCAGGCTGGGGAGAAACCAGCCAGCAACTCATATGGGACCCCCAGCCAAAGCAAGTCAAATGGGTACTAAAGCAATAAATTTGCTCTCATTGGCTGGAAGTGGGCAACTGGTGGAGGGTCTGGGACAGCACCAAGACAAAGAGACCCACAGGGGAGACCATGCATGTGAGGCATAGATCTCATCAATGTGAGCAGAAAGTGACTGATACCCAGAGGTCAATCCATTAAACTCTGCTAGAATGAGCACGTCTGCGTAGAAAGAGGAAGGAGAGACACTCAGATCTCCATTAAACTTTAACGCTCAGCCCTGACTTGCGTTCAGTGAGACAGTAAAAGCCTTAGGATTGCTGGGGATTGATCCCAGTCACAATGCAAAATACCAATGCTGAGCCTTGGAGATGGCACAAGGAGTGAGCCAGAGCCCAGGACAGCCCTGGAGTAGCTCCCTTGCAGAAAGCAAAGACAAATAAAAGAAATTAAGTCCTAGATGAAAAAAAAAAAAAAAAAGAAGACAACATGCCTGCCCTGGGTGGGAGAGGCCACTGCTGCCAGACACAACCCATCAGGGCAGGAGCCCAGTGCCATCCTTTTCCCACGCCTTCCTCACCCTCTCCGAGTGCTTTCAGCTCAGAGCAAGGACACCTACTTACCCAAAAATATTCCCTTCCCTGGTTCCATGCCTGGGTTAAACCTCTAGCACAGGGGCATTAATGCAGTGCATGAATAAACTTTTAAACTCTTGTGGGTGTTTGCTCAGCACCCACGAATCCAAGCCCCTGAAAGAGCCCTTTCTTCATGGAGGAGATGGAAGAGGAGCTCCAGGGAGGTGCTGAGGGTGGCACAGTAAATTGGCATAAAGTTAATAAAGTTATTGACTCCTCAAAATAACTAATCCGTGCACAGAACTTCTGCAAGGACATGCTCACTGCAGAGTCACTTACTGGTTCACAAGAAATGAAATGACAGGCTGCCGTAGCTGTGTCTCTGTCATGCTGGGAATGGGACAAGGAGGAGTTTTGGCTGAAGCATCAGCTCTGGAAAGGGTTAATGGCACATGAGATATGTTTAGTGGGATTTGGTATTTTTTTAACTTCAACAAACAAAGCATATGAGAAAATACAGTTCACAGCTGAGTCCTGGCTGTCTGCCCACTAGGGCAGGGAAAATGCAGATGGTTTGAAATACCCACATGCCTGCCTTTCTCATGTAGCCTGTGGCTCAGGGTCTCTAGCAGGTCTCCCCCACATTGTATTTGAACAATCAAGGTGGCAGCAGCGCAAACTGCAGTGTAAAAGCAGCACTGAGACAGGAGAAACTTTCCCTGAGCACCATCGACTTCCTCAGACACACAGAGGAGCCAGGATCCTGTGAGGCTTCACTTGTTCAAAAATAGTAATTAGCTCTCAAAGTAAATAGGTGTTAACAGCAACAAAGAGCTTTGCCACAGTCTGGGTAAACACTTCAGAAGCAATTTAATTTCCCTTCTCCTGGCAGATGTAATTTGCAATTATTTTCAGGTTGGGGCAGGGAACAAAGCCACTGGGGCTGCTCCTTGGGACAGCCTGCAGGGCCCACCACTTCACTGACATTTAGGCCTCTGAGGCTGAAACGAGCTTCCTTCCGCCAAACCAGATGTGTAACACAGCCGGTGATCAGCAAAGCCAGCAGTGAACCATAGCACGACATTAAACCACCCTAAAGTCCAGTCTATTTCTTAATCCTGAGAGTCCCCCAGTCTAGACAGGATATGAAGGACTAACATGAAAACTAAGCAACAGAATATTTACACTCTCCCATCAAGCTGCAAACAGAAAGAAGCATCAAAGGGTGTTTAGCCTTTTAATCACTTTGCCTTTTGGGAGCATGGGCAGCACCCAAACATGGTCCCACACTGGTGCAGAGGGTTTGCAGCTAGTTTGTATCATTGCATGCAGCTGCATTGAGGTTGTCCATTTGCTTACTAAATTGTGCTAAAAAGCAACTGAAAACCTGTCTTTTCCCTACCATTACAGGGAGCTGGTGAAACATGCTTTTACCCAAACTGCCCCAAAAGCTAATGAGTTTGTCCTCCATCACCACTGCGTTAAAATCAAACTAGTGATCAGTGGCTGGGACTCAGCTGATGCGGGATATCCTTCTGAGGAGGAGGTAATTCCGCATGTGATGGCAGCTGTAGTAAATGCGTTTGCCGGTGATGGAGAATTTATCCAGCTGGGATGTGAATACAATCCAGCTGGGAACAGCCTGGCTGTGTAGCCAGACCCAGCAAGGCTTTTGGGCCAGTATAAAGCAGTCACACGCCCAGGAACAAGTACAACCAGAAAAATGTGCACAGTGACTTCCCCAGCAGTTTCGGATCTCGTTCTGCCATGCTGACTGTCTGCTGGGAGAGGGATGTTTAGTTAATTAATTGCTACAATTAGCATGGAGCTATTCCTGCCCATGATGGTTACCTTTTCCTCCCCTTTTTGGTTCCTCCAATCACCGACTCATTCATTCTCCAAGGCAGAGGCCACAAGGCACAGAGAGGCTTGAGGATGAAGGGATGAAGGTCGAAGAACGAAACGCCAAGTATCCCAAGATCTATTTCTACCCAGGAACTGTCTTAATCTCATGCAAACTTCTGATCCTCTCCTACCCATAAATCCAAGACTTCAAGGACGTGATGAAGAGAGAACACAGCAGTTACAAACATTGCTACAGCTGTTTTATTTCTCTCTCTGGCTGACCCGTCATGAAGGGCGGGTGATGGGCTCATACATGCCAAGATGGACAAGACTCCCAACACCCATCCCACTCCAATGATCCCTCAACTTCTCCAGCCAGCCTTGGGTCATGGGTCCTTCAAATGAACATTATCTACTTTGGGAAATTGATGATTTATTTGCCATTACTTAGCAGGGATGGTGAAGGAAAGGTGAGCATGGGGTCACCCATGCAACAGCCAAAGCGAAGCACAAACTCTGAATAATTCATGATCCCTCTTTGCTGCAGCATCTGGACACATCTGCTGCATTCGCCCCTGTAGGCTTTTTCTTGGCTTACTCAGAAAATCATGCTTTGGCAGCTGGGTACTGTTTCAAGTGGGTACTTTCCCTGAAGCATTAACGAGCTGTGATTTTGTTACAAATAGGGATTTTTGTTCCTCTTTTGCTGATGTCACTTGATGATCCTGTAGGGAATAGTGCTCAGATCTCTGCAGCCTGATGATCCCTGTGTGCCCTTTGGGACAGATGTACTTGCAAGCAGGAGATTGTTTTTCCTTTTGCTGCACAGATTTATATTTCACTGAAGTCCTGTATCGATCCTGCTGCCGCTGGGCTAAAAGCTAGTTTTACTAAATGAGAAGAAAAACAGTCCCCCCAGCTGAACTCACGCAAAATGGAAAATCCTGCAACAAAACAGCTCCTAAAAAGGGGGCTTGAACAATTCTGCTGAACCTTGAGGGCTGTGCTGCTGATATTGGAACGGTATGTAATTTATTTAGCCTGACCTTTCCCTAAAAGACCGGGCTGGCGACGTTATCAAGGATCCTTTCTACCACTTGTACACCCATTGCCAAGGTGACATCCTGTTTCATGCGTCAGCCAGTGAAGATCGCATCCGTGCTGCTGTGATGCTTTGTTTGCTGTCCTGCCTGACAAGCTCTTGGCAGGGTTTCAGCTCCCGCGGATGGCAGCTGCTCCACAAGGGACCAAAACAGATTCAAGCTGGATGTTATTATAGGGAGTTTCATGCAGATAGAGCATGGGACTGGAGTCCCTTTGGATGAGACTGGATCATGGACAAGATGAAGCAAAGATGCCCAGAGGTGCTACCAGGTATAATGAGACTGGTAGGTGACTGCAGTACTGCACACCAGGCTCAACTCCTCATCCCATCTCCCTCAGGATTTATATGTGACCTCATGGAACTGGGAAAGCAGAGGAAGCTCACCATTGCTTAATGCAGCTGCTTGCCAAAGCACAATCGAGTTTGGATGCTGAAGCATAACTGGTAGAACAGGTCCCACAACTGCACAAAACTATGTGGGGTTTTCTTTCCCCCTCCCAGAGGGTGCTTTCCCAGAGGGTCCCAGGAAGAGACAAGGATGTAGGTGTGGGATATGTGTCTGTCCTTCACATGAAGCCTGTCAGCAGTGGAGAAAACTGCAGTGGGGAGGAAAATGGTTACCATAAAGCTTCTCCCTCCACTTCACCAAGGGATTGAAACCTCTGAATGAGGAGTATTTTTCACTGCTGCCCCCCACCACTCTCAATGGCATTTCAGTGACACATGGGGACAAAGGCTGCAGCTAAAAAAGTCTCCAAGCCCTACCAACTTCTTGTAAGAGACTCCATGGTCTGCAGTTATGGGGGGTAAAAATTACTTAGGTAGCTCACAGGAGCAAAGCCAGCTCTGCTTCAGATACCAAAGGTAGGCAAGCTTCATGGAAGTTTCCCACATACCCACCCATTTCCCACTCCAGCCCTGCCAGCCTTGTGGCAGGCTGAACTCCTCTCCCACAGGTCTGATCTGAAAGAGGAGCTGGGCACCATTAGGAGGACAGACCAGAAGACGCTCTTGGCCATGGACATGGCTCTCATGGTACCTGTGTTCTCCTCGGACTGGTTGAAGCCACAGATCTGACAGATGCTGCGAACCCATTTGTTCATGTCGTCCTCAGTCTCAGCCACCAGGTAGAAGGTCCTGTCACTTGTCTTGATGTCAAAGATGTAACTGTCTTGCAGTTCCTTCTTGTTGAAGGTCAGGCCCGCATCCACTTGCTCGCAGAAATTGAGGTTGATCACACGCAAAGGTTTCTTGGAGTGGTCATTTTTGTAGTACTCCAGGACGTCGGGGTCGCCACTCATCCGACCACTGCGCAGGACGAACCAGCGTTTCTTCCATGCCTGAAACCAAGAAAAGAGGAAGCATGAATCCCATCACTGAATCTGAGAGAGTGAAAAACCACTACTAGGCACAGGGTGACACAGAGGGACACGACACTTCTCCATCATGGGATGCTTCGGGATGCTGTTCAGGACATCCCTGAAAGAGGTGCATAGACTCAGCTCAGTTCTTCATTTCAACACTAAAATCCCACTGGTTATCCAGGAGAATTAAATACTGAAATAGTATTGTAGCATAAGATGACCCCATAAAGGTTCAGAGTCTTGAGGCTCAGAGCAACCTTGCTCCTACCCTACAGCCCAGCCATGCTCCCAGGACCCAAACACCCTTCTCTCCTTGATGTAAAATAATCTGTGGAGTGGCATTACCAGCCATGGCAGTGCCAAAATGCCTTTCAGCAGCTTGGAGTTGTTCAAGCACTCTGGACATAGCACCCCTGGTGTTCCGACCTTCAGAGAAACTCCTGAGAGTATCATAACATGTGTCTGCAGATACCAACCATGCCAATCCCATCTCTGTTTAAATGCCAGGATAGAAGGACTAGTAAAACCAATAGGGAACTGGTTTGTTTTTTTAAATATCAGGAATAATGCCAGGGAGGCCCATGGAGCATCCAAGCTTCATTTGTTTTTCAGCATCCTTGCCTCCCTAGCACGTAGGTAACTCCTTAGCAAAGAAAAAGGTTATCATTGATTCTTCTGCTGATGGCAGCCCCTGGCCAAACCACTCATGGAATGGACTCAGGGGGTTACGGAGTTTGAAGCAAATCAGTAAAATAAATATCAGCTATCAGCCCCGGCCCTGAGAGCTGCGGCCCTACTGCTCTCCCTATGCCAAATGCAGCTGGGAGCCCACAGGAGGGGGAATAACCACAATGATAATATGCTAAATGCTAAAACTTAAATTACATGGAAAACTGTGTGGTGTAACTCCCCGTCCTATGGGATGGACAGTGGGTTTTTCTGGGGTGTCCTCCGCATGAGGATCATGGCACCTATGTGAGGGACGCATGGGTTCAGGGACCACCTCGAGCTGCTCTCCACTGCAAGAGGTCTGCTGCCTTGCAGAGGCCTCAGGTCCCAGGGCCTATGGAAGGAAAGGACTACATCTAAGCATAGTCCTAAAAACAGTTTGTTCAGGATGTCTTTGAAGGCAGTGAAGGTTTGAGGGGTGCATGTGGATGAGTGGGGCGATGTGGATTATTACCAGTGCTGCTGCATTTCCTGACACACACTTTGGTTTTTACCAAAGGATGCCAAAGGATGCCAGTGTGATCTCCACCATCCCATCCTGGTTGTGGACCTTTTTTTTTTTGTAATGAGATTTACCTCATTTATATTTTTATATATGTAACCAGTTTTGGAATTCATATGATTATAAGAGGTTGGGTGATGAGGAAGCACATGATGTCCCTAAGAAGGAGAACCAAAAGCCACAAACATCTTTAATACCCAAGAGAGGCAGCAGGGTGAGCGGTGTGCTGGGCCCTCCATGATGCTCCCCGGGTGCTGACCACAGCCCTGTGAGGCTTTGCATATTGGTGAGGGACACGTGCTAGAACTCAGCCAGCTGGTTGCACCAGGATCTCACAGTTTTGGAGAATTTTGAGGCTGTAATAAGGGTAAGAAATTCCTGCAACGTTTTCCCTGAACAGTCTGATTCACACCATCCTTCTCAAAGGCTTAAAAATAGCTTTTGGTGGTGTCTTTTAGATTTGTAACCAAATTAGTTTTGCACTAATTCTCAAACCAGGTCCTGGTGCCAGGAAAGCAACTTCAGTGCAATCTTGTAAAGGCAGCGAAGCAGCAAATTGCTTAGCGGGAGGACGTGCAAGGCTGGCAGATTTTAGTTTAATCTAGGAGACAGTCACCCACTTCTCATCAAAATGTCTGCTTTTAGATGAAAAAATAGACACACAGCGGAGCTGTGTCCATCAGGGAGGGAAAAAAACAATTTCACCAGGCAGCAGCAATAATTTGCTAGTCTATCTCCTCAAAATTGTTCACCCAAATCCTTGGAAAACAAACTCATGAACATTTTTTTTCTAGTTCTAGGTGGAAAATGTCCCATTAGCTTCTTCCTGTTAGCACTGAGTTATTTCTTTGCAGCCACTTAGCAGGGCTAAGACATGGACATACATCAGTGAAAGAAGATGCAGTTGTGCAACCACATGAATCATCACCTGAATGAAGACACATCCAATACCAGTTTCAGCTGCTTAGCTCGCTGCTTTCCAACCATTTGGAATGCAATCTTACAGCATCCCTTCATGGCTGAGACATTGCATTAAAAAATCCACAAAGTACAGAAACCAGACTTCAGAATTTAGAGTTCTCATGGAAAAACAGGAGGAAATGCTGCAAGCAAGGCAAATGGTGCTACCACAGCTTCTCTTTTAATCACTAATGTGAGAGTCACAAGTTCTCCAATTCTCTTTGGTCTGTCTGGTAGCAATGAAAAGCCCCACACAGTCAACATTTGGCAGAGAAAACAGTATAACACACAGTCTGGTGGTATTGAATAAGTTCTAACATAGGCTGGTTGAGAAAGAATGGGTCTTGCCAGCACAAAATTTCTTGGAAAGCTTCAGGAGCTGGAGTATCATTGGAGAATGCGACCAGTACCCCATCAGCCTGGGATGACCACCCAGTCCACCTCTGCAAGGTGCCCTCCTGATGATAAAGAGTCACTGGTGTTCTAAAACAGCTTCTGACCCAGAAACAGCTCATGGCAGCAGCCTCTGGAGTGCCTGTCCTGGACAGGTGGCTGCAGGTAGCACAGCTGGAGGCATCTCCCACCACACTTCCCTGCAGCAAGGCCAGCCGTTCCTGCCTCCTAAGATCAGCTTCTGAGCCAGAGGAATAAGCACTGATCACTAGAAGAGAAGTAAACAATAAAGAAATAGCCAGGAACCTCCTTATTTTTATAGAGATTTTCCCCATTTCTTTGAATTTTTGAACACTGAGTTCAGCAAGCGTATTTCATTTCTTCCCTGTGGATTTGCTATGTCTTCATTAGGAGCAGGGCTCAGCTTGCCTATTTACCTATTAAAAGCTATCAATACCATCCATATCTTCCACATTTAGGCTTCCCTAGCATATCACCTTCCTGCAAGAGGGTGATTTATGGGTCTACTGATCACCACCCATGACAGCAGTAAGGTGTATGTGATCCATATGTGCACAGCAATCTCAGACTGCCAAACCAGAGGAGGATGCAACTCCATGTGAATGCATACGCTCTTTCCAAGATCATCATCTCCTGGCATGGGGCTGTGATGTCCAACATGCACTTCCTCTTCCACTTAAATTTTCCTTCTCTCCTTACTTCTATTTCTTCATAGCTCTTCTGCAGCTCCCGTTGCCATCAGTTCACTCCTGCCAAAGCAGTGTGCCTCACCAACACTGGTGTGAGCCAAGGGCTGTGTTTGTTTAACAGCTTTACAATGCAGAGTGGCCAACAGCTTAAGAGCCATAAAAGAGTTGGTGCCTTTGCAGCACAAACTTCCAGCTGTGTGGTCCTTTGCCTGCATCAGGTTCCTTCACAGTTCAATTACAGCTGCCAAAGGCCCTTAGTATCACGAGAAATATTTTGACACTTGGTAAGTATTTCTTTTTTGTTAAAAAAAATGCCCATACCCATCCATCCTGCTCCTATTGCAATGTGAATCCTCCTTGGGTACTGAGAACTGTAACTGCTGCTTGATTGCTTTCCACCTCAACAGTGCTGTGGCAAGTTAAAGTTTACAAAACTGACTCCTTTCCAACTGGATGTTACTTGGAGCTGGTTGTTTTACGGAGAGTTGGGTTGGCAGAGATGAAGTTGTGCTTCTGGTTCATTGGCTGAGTGTGCTTGGCAGGGATGCTCTGGGGGGCTCAGGCAGTGGTTGGAACCCTTCCTGTCCCTTCTGCTGTGTGAGGAGGTGGCTGCTCTTGAGCAACTGAGATACCACCACACCATACCATACGATAGCATACCATACCATACCACACCACACACCATACCATACCATCTTCCTACTGCCACCATAGTATCTTCCTACCACTCCTTGAATGAGGTCCCTCATGTCCCCTGTGGCTGTCCTGATGACACAATGCTGTGACAAAGCTGGTGGCCTCAGGGCAGAGAATCTGGGGCCTCCAAGTACCCAAATGCAATTCAGGACAGGCCAGACAGAGGCTTTATTAACTATGATTATAGTGAGAGGACATTTGGACAGCATCTTCCCTTCTGCTTCCCAGTTCTCTGGGAAAGTGATTGCAGGTATCCAGCCTACATGTTGTTTCCGAAAAAAAGGACGTGAGGAAAATTGTAATTTCAATGTTAGTAAAGCCAGGTATGCATCCCCGAGGAGCTTGCCAAGTGCCACAATCCTAAGAAGGAATGAAATAGTGACAATATGGAGAGATGGCTCTTGGTGGGGCCTATAGGAGTGGTCCATCCAGTATTATTTTAGCTCTGAAGTGAGGAGTTGGAAACAGTCAGAGACTGTTAGCTTTGAGTTGAAAGGGATGTTCTTACAATTAGGATAAACTCCTATATTTCAGATCTCTCAAATGTGAAATATTAATAATTTTACCAACACACCCTTATAGCGTATGTAAGGAGAAGAGAAATATATATTTCCCAGGAAATTTCTCTGCCCTGTTCCTTTTCTCCCTGACATCAACTTCATGCCCACCAGCACTGCACATTACCAGTGTGAAATAAACCTTCCAAAATCTGATTTGACACAAATCACAGGGTCTAATCCAGGCTGGCAGGCAAGATGAGCGACCTAGCCATGACATCAGGCAAATTTCTCACACCAGGATGAAACCACGGACTGAGCGATTCAAGGAGGAAACCCCACGGCAGGGCGAGCAGGTGCTCATGTCCCAGATTTGCTCAGAGCCAGAGAAGCTCTAGGTGGTGCAGGACAGCTCCTGTGGCCCTGTGGCCACCAGCTGCTGGTGGGGATGCCACCATCTCCACAGAAAGCCAAGAGTCTGTCCCAGCC